TATAATATAATAACCATTTTGTTGCAGCATATCATGTAATAAAAATATAAAACTATACATAGATTTTAAATATTGTCAAAGTTTTTATCCTTTCTTAAATTTTGTACAGGAATTAAAGGCAAAATCATTTAATGCAAGAAAAAGGTTCCAGTTAGCAATTCTTTGTGTTCGTGCGGTCGTTCGCATCAAGCATCTTCATAATACGCCTGAACCTCTTTCGACTCACGTGGCGTGTACTGATCCTTATAGAATCAAAATCTTGCGGAAGGTATCATTTCTTATTTAAAGAATATTTTAATTATTGACTTGTTCTATAGATTGATGAAATGATATGTAATTTTTTTGTTATAGGTTATCGATGGTTGCGCATTCAGAGTATACGGTCACTGGGTAAAGAAAGGAGAAGGGCAAAATCGAGCTGCTCTTTTTGAAAATACGCCAAAGACAGAACTTAAACATCTCTACGTTAGTAATTTGAGCAGATAACTAATGCTTAAATGAAGCATTATTTAGTTAAAATTGTATCTTCTTATGCTAGTTGACATTTACAGTATCTAAAAAAAATATTCAGTAAGAAAAAACGAAAAAAATAAATAATTTAAAAAGGTAAAAAGGTAAAACACGTATAGAAATTTTTTTTGTTTTTAATAGTAATACCATTGTTTTTAAAAGATCTTTATGATACTATAAAGTATTCATAGATTTTGAATGTTCTAATTATTATACGTGTTCTAAAGAAATATGTAATTAAGTTGTTTGGATTTAAAATACCTTCCGTGGAAAATAGTTTTAAATGCTATTTGTTTTTAAGGTCTTCTATACTGTCTAATTTATATTTCAATAAATATGAATTATATGAAACATGCAAAAAAAAAAACTATTAAAAATTGCAAACAATTTGCTTAGTGATATGGTATAAATTAGTATCACGTTCTTAGATAACATTTTATGTTTAAAAGAAGTATTATAATGAAGACAGTTTGTGGAACTATACTTTGAATGTTCTATTTTAAATCTATAATGATATTCTTCAGTATTTTTTGTTTTTTCTGTAGTATAAAATAACTTATATCCAAATGTCGAATAAATTTAACCAAATGTCTACATGTAGAGAAAGAAATAAGATTTAAGATGATTCAATATAAATGATGGTGCTGATGCGTACAAACATAATAATACAATCTATTCTGTTCCATGACCCTATTTCTTATGTTTGTACGTTTTTATTAAAGGTTCACTAGTTGTATAAATAACACTTCTATAATTTATTACAAATCAGCAATTTGTACAAAATTAAATTTGTATTAACATTTTGGATATATATTCTTGATATCTAAATATTTAATGTATAATTTTAGCAGCGAACAAAAATTCAATACAATTTAGAATAATTACAATATATATTTGTAAAAACTTATTTTCAAACTTGAAAAATTCTTTTCAAATTTAATCCAGAAATTATGCAAGAATATATATGAAACAGAAGATTTAGAAAAATTGATAGAAAAAAACAAAACGTATTTGTAATTACAAATCTCTTCATACTAGTAATAGGGAAATGTATTCCATTATGATATTTATGTACCAAGATCTGTATGTGAATTGTAATATATAATATTTTCTGCAAATTCTAGTCACATTTTGTACTGTTGAATTTGTTTTAGATTAGAAATGAAACGAATTTTTCATGGGAGAGAATAACAAAGGAAAGTGAATTGAATTTTGTATACTATTTAGAAGGTTGCAAATGATAGTTCAATATATGTAAATTTCCAAAATTATATATTACTATATTTATATATTTTGTGCAAAATGTATACAAAGTAAAACATTTTTAATAATATTTAATACTTTATATTTTTATTCCTTTCTATTAGAAAATAATTTCATTGTTAAAAACACGAAGTGTACGCGTCGATGATTATATTTTGTACGAGTTTAGTAAATTTTATAGTATGGATTAAGTGCATGCAGAAATGTGTTTCTATAATTTTTAAAAATATATTCAAAAAATATATATAACGATAATAATTTATGAAATGAGGACGAATGCCAATCGAATATTTATTTCCAAAAAAATTTACATCAAAAAACATTTCTTTGAATCATTTGTATCAATAACTTTTTCAATAAAAAAAACTTTATCAATAACATTTCAATAAACGTACACAATTCGAAAATAATTACGTTTCATACATTACTCGGTATTAACAGCAGAACATCAAAGTGTTGCGACTTTTTAAAAATGTACGTACGTTTTCAAACTAATGAAAAATAATGTTGGTGCGTGTTAAATGCGTTTATTCAAACGTAGGATCAATTAGATGAAATAATAGAGTGACGTTTTAAGTGTATTATATCGTGTAGCATAGTAAAACTTCTGGAACAGCTTAGAAGTGATATCTCGCGCAAATTGAAAAATGAAAAGAAAAGAAGAATTAACTGGAGAAAAGTGACGGGACGTGGTTTTGGCGCGCGCGCGCAAAAGTAAACAATGAACTGTACGGTTTTATACGGGTAGAAGTGGCAACAGTGTAGAGGTCCGATCCATGTGACAGAGAAGGAACGTGACAAAAGGTGGCAGAGGGTGACGCCGCCGAGATCGGAGTGAGTGTTTGCCCGGGCGAGCCGGGTGTCGGGTGTGCTGTGTACGATTGTCGCGATATTCGTCCGTTCTGGCGTCCACCGGAAGGTAAGCGTGCACGTAAAAGATATCGGCTGGCACCGGGGCGTCGATTCCGTCGGTTTTTCGCGATGGTACCGAGGCAGACCTGAGAAAATCGGGGAAAAAAGTGCATCAACTAACGAGCAATATACAGCAGCTCGACACTTCTCTTACACGCCCAGCGGAGTGCTGCGTCACATGGGCTGCGTTCATTGGTCGATACAGCCAGGTGACGTCATGAACCGCGCTTTGATTGGTCTATACCTCGGACCCCAGACACGTGAATCGTGGCCAAGCAAGCATGGCTGTTGATGCGCAGTGGTTAGCACTTGTAAAATGTTTCTGCCACGCGCTAGATCGATCAGGTTATAACCGTCGTGTGTCGTGAAACGTCGCGAGATCGTCCGCTATTCGAGAACGTACGTGTGTCCCGTGGTTTCACGCATGTGCCGCGTATCTGACAGGAGAAATATCGTTGAAATTCTCGCAGGAAATTGATTTTTACCGTGAAAGTGGGTGTCCAGCGTGTTTCCATCGTGACCGGGATACATTGGCGGCGTACCCGTAAGTTCTTGATTATTTTCCATCGGTTTCTGGCATCACCACGCCCGTTTAAAACCCTCCGCCGTGAATTTATCTCGTCGGAACTATCGCCTATTTAATTAACATGTGTATAGGTGGTTGCGTGGCGTGTTTTCCGTGCCATAATAGACCCAGCCAATCGCACGGTACTTCAACTCATGACGTCACGTTATCGCAAGCTCCTATTGGCCAACGGTGCGTGCGTCGCCCGTCTAACGTGTGCGTCGCTTTGTCAGTTTAAGGAGCTCGTTCGGTCTAAGGCACGCTTCTTGACTTTTCGTATACTCTTCCGCGCAGACCGAGAGCCGCTCGTTTACACGAAGGTCGTGTAAGGCACAGCCGCTCTGTGCATCGTGCGCTGGTCTTTCCTATTTTTGCACGGTCGCGGCTACCATGGTACGCAATTGTGCGCTCGCTCGTGATTGCGGTACGCTTTCGCGATTACGTTGCCCGGGATATATCTACTTTTCAAATCAGCAGCGGAACCTCGTTTCTCTGTTTCGCCTTTCCCGCCTCTCTGTCTCGTCAATCTTTTTTCCTCGCTCGCTGACTTCTCGGACTGCGCTCACCCAACATACTCTTACGGCTCTGCGCGCTGCACACTCTCTACACGCTCTTTGTATTCGCGAGTACACTTTTGCGCGTACCAGCGTCACGTAACGACTCTCGTTACTGTTTTCGATGCCGCACATCACGGGGAAGCTAATTCAACTGGCTCGAACGAGACGACGCCTCCTTTGCCACGTATATCTCGCTCTTGTTTCAATGCCGGCGAATGTTTAACAAAAGTACAAAGTTCATTCGGTCATTTTCTGCTTGACGGTACTTTATCTAACGTCTTTCGAACTGCGGTACTTCGAGTTTCACTCGTAAGTTTACTTCCATCAAAATCCATTTCTCTCGCTAATATATGATAATAATTAAAAATACTATCTCTATTTACTGATATTCGACTCAGCATCGCTGTTACATACAACATCTAAAATTTATACGCAAGTCTCTCGAGGCTTTCTTCATTTTGATTCCATCATTCCATATGCTCAAAAATCTCGAAACTTTTACAAATTATATATCGCGTATAAGTGTGTCTGTTCTCGAATGTAGCAAATGACGAGATACATTTCGTAACGGGGAACTTGTCGTTTCAACGGGTTCTTTTCTTTCCGACTGTTACATTGTTTCCAGCGATCGGAACTCGAGATGCGTGCTAATGCTCCGTGCTCCAGGAAAGCGCACCGTTGCGCTTGCGCGTCTTCCCCGCGAGGTATTACGAAGACGGTACGTGGGAGGGGATGAAGCTTCCCGCGCGACTGCGTTACGTCACGCGTACGTCACGTGACGTATATTCAGACACCGGTCGTGTCCGTAACGTCTGCAGCTCCGTTTCGAACAGGCTAATAATATTATCGAACAACAAAGTTTCAAACATCGGGGAGAAAATAACGATCATGTAGTTGATCGATCCGAATCCGTGTCCCTGGCAAAAACAAACGAGAAGACGTGAACATGTGTGGATCTTGTTTTCACGGTAACAGAGATCTCCTCCTCACTTGCCCGTGGCGTCGATCGAATGTCATACTACCTATGTCCGGTTAATTGGTTTTTCTCCCTTCTTTTTTTTTTTCCGTCGATGTGTCGATCGTGTCGATTATCGAGTAAATTACATTCATAAGCGTTGCGTCCTGTCTTCTCGCGTTCGCCAAGGTCGACGAATTAAAATCCAACGGTGGGGGGAGGAGGGGAGTTTACCACGGGTCTTCCCCCACCACTCTGTTAACGAGTCCACGATTCGTGGTGCATTTTCAGCATAACTGAACGCTTGTTTTTTTTTCTCTCTTTTCTTTTCTTTTTCTTTATTTCTTTCTTTTTTTTTCATTCTGCCGATAGATCGCCAATCGCGGCTGGGCAGCAGAAAAAGTGGAGGAGGGTTGAGACAGGAGAACGGGCTCTCGACTTCTTCGTCCTCGGCAGCCGGCGACGGGGATCGACGGTCCGATCGCAGAGTCTCAATCTCCCGAAGGATCTCAAGAAGGAGGAGAACTCTTCGTTGGGCGAATCGGCAACGTCAGGATGAGCCTGGAAACGTTGCTGGAAGCGGCGCGGTTCGTGGAGCAGCAAGAGAAAAAGAGGGAGCGCCTCGCGAGCAGCTCTTCCTCCTCCTCTGATCATACGCTTGCTGTGACGCCCCACTCCAACCATCACAGCTCCAGCGAGCCACGTGGTGAGTACCACGCGCCACTTTTCGGCGACCGTTCACCATACGTATGGATACGTATAGAATAGAATTAACGTTCCGAGTTACGTTCTTAAAATCTAAAATCTTCCATTGGCTAAGTAACTAGTACGTGCGTAATTGCGATTTGCAGATTTCAGTTGAAAGCGCATAAAGAGCATAAAGATTTTTGAATATCTAGGATTTTACATAGAACTTGCGAAAGCACGCACGGATTTGGAAAAAAGAGTTAGAAGCTCGGCGTATTTTATTATCTTACAAATGAACGTAAAGATTTTTGGAGATGTGCAACGTTTTACAATGCCATTTCCCGATGTTTAATCGATCCAAACATTTTTCGTTTAAAAATCTTTTCAACGAAACTAAAAATTTATTTTTGAGGTTACAATAGAAATCCATTTGCCAGAGGGGGAAAAAATTGCAAAATACTCGTGCGCGGAATGAGAGACACTGCGGTGTACATGCGAATAGCACGCGATGACCCATGCGTTCACCGCCTCCAAATTAGGTATGATTTCCCTCGCAACAGTGATTCTCAAACGCGTTGGCCGGCTTTCACGCGTTACGCACTGGAAACTTCCATAAAAATCCGAAATCTATCCACTGGATTTCTCCGTTATTGCATCCAAGTTATCGGTCTATCTCTATGAAACTCCGCGCAGAGATAGGTTGGGTCAGGCGAGTATATAACGATTCTGAGGGTAACGAAGACACGTCAGAGGTAGCTGGTTGATGCGATAATAATCGCAAAAGTGTTCGGTCGATCGTTCGAAGGGGGAGGGGGAGGGGGTACCATCTCGTCGTGTCCCTTTGATTCCCGCGTTTTCCCAGGTCAATGACTCAACCGGCCGATCCTGTAAAGCGAGTATTCGCCACACGCGAAAGAGTTCTCGGCGGGCACGAAACGCGCGCGGCGATCGCACGCCACTGTCGTGCCATCGGTCTTTTTCTCTAACGATCGCATCCTGACTTCGAGCTCTCGAGTCAAATGATTCGTCGCGATAAAGCTTCGCGAAAAAGTCGCAGAACCAGCCAACTTTGCGCGGCTGATTGCGAGTTGTACAGATCATTGAGGTGAACCGGTAGTATCGACGATCGTTGTCGTCTTGCTCAACGACAAAAAAAAACACGTCGCCTCGATCGCCGCTCGTATTACCTTTTACGCCGATTTTCCAACCCGTGCCCCGAAATCTCGACAATTTCGTTCGCGCGTGTGCCGATTTTTCCTCGAAAATCGGCAATCGGCAATCGGCAATTTATCGCTGAAACTGGTCTCCGCGCTCAGACCTGACGGACTGACTGATGACATTATCTCGCCGCGATGAGCGTTAAAGTCGAAGGTTTCCATCGCGTTAATACCGAGGCGTGAAAGTGTATCGCGATTGACGAGCGTCCAGGCGATGTGTTTACAAGTTTCGAGCGCAGATAGAAGATTGAAAAGTCGAGAGAAGGTGAAGGAGAGGGGCGGCGGGACGAGGAGGGAGGGGATAAAGGAAGCATGGGGAGGAAGGGAACGATTTAGTTGACCGTATGCATTGAGCTCTCTCTCTTTCTCTCTCTCTGTGGTCGTCGATCCAGCCATCAGAAACGTGCACGTACAGAGACCACTAGGCACGTATAAAGGCAAAAAGAGGTACAGGCAAAGGGTGGCGGAAGTTAAGCTTAGGTGGGAGCGACGTGTAGAAGGATATGTACGTTAGCTTGCAACGGGCAACTGGCGGGAGGGAGGGGAACGTTACGCCAGCAGGCTGGGAAAGAGCGGGGGGGGGAGAACGATGGTGGATTAGGGGAAGTGGGGATATGCGATGTCGCTTTTGGAGGGGCAACGATGGTGGGACCGTGGTGCTACGGTGACGATGGTAGGAACGAACCTCGATACACTAAGGTACATAGTGGGGAGCCGGAGGACCCCCGGTCACTGACTCTAGAAACTACGACAGCTTTTGTGCTTCATTCACGAGCGCGCCACCTACTCGTGCACAGCCGTTTATGTTTGCGGTCGCCTTCTCTTTCCCTTCGTCTTTGCGTCCGTTCCCTTCTTTTTCGCTTCAATCCGCGAGAGCAACACCTTCGCGTGCTCTCTCTCTCTTTCTTTTTGTCCCTTTGTCGTATTTTTCTGTTTCTTTCTCCTCCCCCCTCCCCTGTCACGCTTTTTCTCTACCTATTGTCTCGCGCGCACGCGCACCGATACCGATACGGCTTTTTCCGTCGTTATCGCTCACGCATCTGATTTATCGCGCGGTTCGTTATTACGATCAGCAGCAATTCTTGAGCGTGCGCTGCTGGTGCGCATGCTGCCTGCTGCACACGGTACATAGGGGCCACGCAGTGGACACTGGCCGTCCACTGGGAGAGGGGGAAAACGGTGGAGAGCGAAGGGAGATCGCGTAGGTAGCCACGCGAGGTGCATTGTATGTCCGCGGAAGGCAAAAAAGAAAA